GGCAGGGTATCATTTTGTTGACAGGAGAGAAAAGAATCGGTTTATCGCTGGAAGACACAGGCGAATGTTCAAACTTTTCAAGTAGTGTACTGTATATCGTCCGTCTGTGAGTGACTTAGTAAAGCATTTATGAAAATTTCAATGCGCGTGATGTGAAAAAAGAAAAACAGATGACAAAGTCAATGGTTGGCCGTGAGTAGCCGTTGAGTGATGAATTTTTCAGTCAATATAGTTAGTGCTGGAGAATTATCCACTGACAAATGACTAATCGGTCTGATTCCTAAAAAGACCTCTGTATCCTATTCATTCCAGTTCTAGTGTGTGACATAGTGCCATGATTCAGTTGAGCACTAGTAGTAATTGCAGTGCGTTTTTTCTCTTTCAAAGTCTCTGAATGTGTTCAGCATTCGGAAAAGTCTTTCAGAAAAGGGTCAGCGAATCCAAAGGATGAGCGTTACTTGTTTCTATTCTTACATTTTTAGAAATAAAATCGAAGAAATGGAAAAAGGAAGGAAAAACTGTGGCTGGAGGAAATGGAAGGAGGAAGTCAACCAAATCAGTTCGAAAGTCCTATTTTTATTTTTGTCAATGATGAACAATCGATTTATATTTCAGATATGGAGAATCATCGAGTAATGAAATGGAGAAAAGATGCTCCAGAAGGTGAAATTATAATTGGTGGAAATAGACCGGAATAACGATCAGATCAATTACGTGAACCCGATGATTTGGCACTTGTTTTGGAAGAAAATCTTTATGCTAGTGATGCGTTGAATAATCGAATTTTGTCATGGAAAAAGAATTAAAAAATCTTCATTTAATTGATGAAAAACGATTCAATAAATGATAAATTTCAAGTGTTTTTTTATGAACGAAGTGAAATTGGTGAAATTCATCGAAAAACCTAAACTCTTCTATAAAAAGAACAATTATTATGGAAAGATTAAAAGATACATTTCGATTGATTTGTGACAAGTGAAAAAAAATTAAAATTATTGCAGTTCTTTTCTAGAACGACTACGACATAGAATTTCATTAGAAATAACAAAATTTATTTCCTGATTTTTCCGTAAAACTTCTATCAAAGAGACAAAATTCAACTTAATTTATTTTTATCTTCTATGATTTTATGTCCTATAAACAATTAATTAGTTTAACACTGCAAAAAGCTACGTAAAAATTCAGTTTTTGAACATCAATTTAAGTATCCATATATATTGGTTAGATAATAAGCGAATTCGCAGATTACTACTTGGTAACTTCAGTAGGGTTAAACTCAAAGAATCATCATAATGAGAAGACCTAGATTGAAAAAATGACTATATTCTCTAAAACAAATAATCTCATTAAATTTGCATTTTTATTTCTACTTCATTAACAAATATTCTTTGCAAGATTTTATATGAAATCTACAATGATATATGATGTCATAAATATGTGATGAACGTTACCACATAATGAGACATGGCTAAATCATCACTTTAAAGGACAAAAAAATAGCAATAATAACGATTCGTTACTAAAAATCGATAAATTCGAATGATAAAATATATAAAATAAAATAAATACTCAACGATACATTGATTCGAGATATAACTTTTTAATTTCACTTCTCTTTAAACGATGGTGAGATTGAATTAGAATGCTTCTTTCTTTCTTTTTTTGTTTTATTTCTTACATTTGTTCATAAGAATGTTATCTGTAACAGTATTTTTTTCTAAACCCCCCGGCATATTAGAAGGCCTCCTTTTATAAGAGCATTTCGATGAATATAATATAATAACCGTTATATTAAAAAGTTGCTGCAAAAATCTCGCGTCAATAACAATCGAATTTAGTGAAAACAACTTCGTTCAAGTTTAGTAGTATGTAGAATCAATAGTGATTTGTTTTATATCGAGTTTTTTAACAGTTTCGTGATTTTTCGATTAAATTTGACGAATTCAAGAAATTGTAAACTATCTAAAAGCTTTGAAGAAAATCTCGCATTACAAGACCTCCATAATTAGAAGACTCCTTGGCCTGTATTACACGCAAAGACATTTCAGCGTATCCCGAATCTTTTAATATAGGGAGGAGTTTACGTCAATCTGTTCTATTTTATCTTCGATGTGAAACTTGGAATTTCTGTACATATTGAGATACATAATCACGATGGATGCTGATAATAATGGGTTCAGAGGCTTTATCTACAATCTCTGTATCGTAGGCTTCTATTGTATGGCTAATTATAAGGTAGTGCTAGTTATTGGTATAACTTCACCGATATTTGGAGATTATTCTTAGTCTTTACTATGGAGATCCATGTTTACATCAATCACGAATTTCACAATTTCTTCATTTTCTGAGTATTTTCGACTGCATTGTCATCATCTTATTGTACTCTTTATTTTTGGTACAGACAAGATTGATTTCAAAGCTGTCATCAAGATTCATAGTGATTGTTTCACAATCAATTCTTATTATTTTTATAATTGTGGCTTGGATATGTTTTTTAGTTCGATTAATTTCTAAAAGTAACTGATTATTTAGTATTTACACACAAGTTATATGAGACGAGTATGACTAGATTAGACAACGTATTAGAGATTTTATTAATTTCTTGATTACAATGAATAAATATATTTAAAAAATTTGATACACATTGATAAGATTATGAAAGCGCGAAAAAACGAGCACAAATCTATACATTTCGAGAAGGAAACAGCTGCAACAAACTGATTTAATCGTCATCTTCGTGATTATTAGGTGTTGTTATTGCCAAAGCACTTGAACTAGTAACTGTATTACTACTGTTATAGTCATATTATTATCCTATTCAACATAAAAAGAAAAATGGATATTGTGATACACAGTTATTATCAGAAGACGTTCTGACTTCATCTTATTCTTCATCATGATCCACTTTGATGTTCTTTTGCTGTTGCATTAGTTTTGGTTTATTCGATTCTTTTTGTGATGTTGGTGGTGCAAGACTTTTCTTCACT